GGCGAAATCATGCCACTGATCATTGACGTACTCACCGGCAGGGTCTAGATACAACACCTTACATGGCCCTGCCCAGTTCAGCCATGTGTTCTCGAAAACCTGAATCTGCTCCTCAGTTGTCCTACCACTAGGAACCCCAACATGGTAAAGTGTGGCTTCGTCAATGAAGTGCATGAAATGGAACTTCAGACCCTGTTGATTTGTCCAATAGGCTCCATCACATCCAACACAATCATTAAAATCTTTTGGAACATGAAGGCTTGCCGGATGCGAAAGCTTTGGACCAGGCTGATTTTCTATACACGTATCACACTGATAGTCGCGAGCGGCTTTCACCACGGCTTCGTCAGCACCCTGTTCGATGAGGAGTTTTGCAAGCTTCCCCGGGTGTGGATGTCCCAAGTTGGCATGAAGCCTTCTCAGATCCGACTTTTGACCAGGCTCTAAGCTTTCAAAATCAGGGCCACTTCTGGGAACAATCCTTGGAGGCCAGCCCTGCTCAGGACCCCCCCCACTTGCACGAACATCCAAACCCGGTTCGACTTCCATAGGTTCACTTTCTGGGTTTTCTGAGTTATTCCCCTCTTTACACTCCCCACTTCCCATATCTACCTTATCCCCAAACAGAGTTACAGACAATCTTGCGGATCCAGCACTTCGAGTTTGTTTGATTCGAGACAGTGCTGTCCAGTTTTCCGGTGGTCCTTTGTCGATCACCTCACCGGTAGCACGGTCGATGATGATGGTTTTCCGCCATGGCATTGGCTCACCATTTGACAGATTTCCGGGAACACGGAACCTCTCAGTTCCTCTGCACAGCATAACAAGCTTAAGTTGCAGCTCCGGCACCATCATTTGAAACTCCCCAAACAAATCCTCCCCAACACGGATCACAAAATTTCCAACCCTGGGGACCCTAGATGAACATTTGCGAATCATGGATTCCCAAGTTGGGGCCCGTCCATATGTCGGAGCTGCAACAGGGATATCCGATCCCCGAGGTGGCCCTTTAATTGAGTGTCGTTGCCGCTTTGGGCACGGAGCATCGTCCGGCGCAGTTCCTGGTCGATCATAATGTTCTTTTGCAACAAACACATCGGAAACACAAGGAGGTTCCTTGATTTGGCACTCCTCAAGAATCAGCCGTGCAATCCTAGACCCAAAAATTGAGGTGTAAGCTGCAGCATATGCTGATACATTTTGTCGTTGACCCTGATGGTTAAACGACCCTTGGATGGTTTCATGTTCATGATTCTTCCCACAAAATTGTTGATGAAGGTGATGGTACAAGTACCCATTGGTGGTTCGAAGACTTGTTCGTTTCCTAAGAAATTTTTCCATATGGGGTAGCTTGAGTTTCCCAACCTCACACATGTCAAATTTGGCTTCATATGTTCCAGACATCAGCTCCTTAAGTTCGGGTTGACCAAACATGCACGAGTCTGATGGTTGTTCCAGGTGCACATGTCTTCGATGGGAAACTTGATGGTTGTAGATGTCATTGCACAATTGAAGATGATGCTTGTTGTGTTTTCTCTGTTCCTGAATCCGGTCATACATGGAAAGACTTTGACTCATATTGAGATTGGAAAATTTTCCATACAACCGGCACTCTGGGGCCAACCATACGTGGCGAGGTTCATACATATATATCCATAACCAAAGTTTTTGGACTCCCTCGGAAGTATTCAGATCCCCATCAGATTTGGAAAAGCGCATGGCTCGTCCCCCAATCTTGTTAATCTGTGTGGTAATTTGGGAATTAGGTTCACAGTAAACTTCCAATAGGTCCAATGGCCGACTTTGGTGGGTATTTCTTCGATTCCCCTCTGTTTGATGTCTCCCCTTTTTCACATGACCAAGATCATTTTTGGAGGATAACAAAAGCAACCCGCTTTCTACCTCATTGATTTTCCGATTGATGGCCATGTGAAGCATCGCTTCGTGCTCAGGGGACAGAGAATCGATCGGACATTCACTTTCGATGTAGTTGGTTATCTTGTCAAGCTCAGCACTCAGATGTCCTCCTCTTCGGGGATCTGGACTTCTTTGGCAAGCTCCCGCTCCCGGATCGCAATCTGTGTGCGAATCTCCTGAACCCGATGATGGTTGGGTTCCACTGCCATGGCTGAGGCCTTTGGCTTGGAATTCACCCTCTTGGGAGCTCGGCTGTGCTCGTTCGTTGACTTCATCTCCTCTTCGATCTTGATCCACTCTCCAGCTTTGTCTTTCTCCTGTGTCGCACCGATCGGGGTCTTGGGCTTGCTGATCGGCTTGGGCTCGGCATTGAAACTGCTGTTCGCCCCATTCGATACCTGTGACAGGTGTTTGACCAAATCCACTTCGATCCCCTGCTCCTGCATCTTGTAGGCATACTCGTGGGTGGCCTGACTTCGGGCTCTGCAGTACATCTGAAAACTTCGAACCCAGGCGGATACCGCCTTCCGATTCCACATTTGTCGAACATAGCATAGATCGCTGTGTGCCTGTTCGAATGTCTTTCCCCCAAACTTTCCCGATGGCACTTTCAGCTGACCCCACTCTCGAAGAGTGGAGATCCCCGGTGGACGCTGAATTTCTGCCGGCGCCGACTCGGGATACTGCGCTGTGGTGCTGAGCTTCGGGTCGATCCTGAATGTCAGTTGCTGATCGTGAAGATCCTGACTCATGGCTGACTGCTTCGATTGGGTGCACTTCCTGAAAACTGGGAAACTTGGGCAAAAGTTGGGCTACCCTTTGAGACATCGGTTGAAGGCCATCCCCGACATTCTTCAAAGAGTTGTCAAAATTTCTCTGCACACTTTCACTCTGATTCACGGCCATCTGAATTTTTCCATGGGTTTTGTCTCCTACTTCATCATGTTGATTTTCACGCATGTACTCATGACTCCAACCCTCATGTTGATCCATCACATGTATTTCATGATCAGTTTCTTGATGTGAACCACATGATAAGTTTAGAATTTGGGTAAAATCAACACTCATGAGATTTTTGCGGCATGTTCTAAGAGGAATGACATCGTCGGAACCTTTGAACCAGACCTGCCTTGCCTCAACATCTACGACTGCCCTAAGGGCACGAAGAACTGAGTTTGACAGCAAAAACGGTGTCTGACCAGGAACCACTTCCACTCGGATCCATCCTCCTGTTTTCCGTGGAAAGAACACAGCGTGTGAACTCTGAAGCACGCCGGAGTTACCAAATCGAAAATTCACATTTGAGGGGGCAATCTTGAGGGACCCCTCCAGACCACAAGAACTAACCAGCTTGCTCAATCGTTCAGATCCAATAACAGCCCTACTAGCCCCTGTGTCAAGTATGGCCTCATGGCATGCTTCTTCAACTTGGAAAACAGTTGCTGGATGGGCCTCCCTTGTGGAAGGCTCAGAAATCCTTTCAGGACTTCTCGGGCGAGTGTCCGGCAATGTCTCAGGCTTGACGCTCTCGTGCATCACTGGGGCCACCGTTTCAATTCCATGCTTCCTACAGCATTCGATCAGCCGGGCATGGAGCGTATGTTGAACCATGTTTGACATGTGACCCTCAACACAAACAAAACAATCCGAACAGTCCCCAACCGCATGACATGAGTTTTGACTTTCATTCCATGCCTGGCTCCAAGAGACTGCATCTCCTGGGAGTTCGGATACCACCTCGAAGATGTCGGCGGCGACGTCATCGGTGCCAAGGTGGATCTCCTCAGTGATGTTGGTGGCTTCATTCTTTTTGACATCCGGACGGTTTGGGCACTCCCTCTTCCAGTGCCCGGGCTGTCCACAGGCCCTGCATGTGGAGTTGGCGATCCGGTCCGCCAAAGAACGACGTCGACCTGGAGTCCACGACGATCCATTGGCTGGTGTCCATGACGGTTTTCCCTTCTTGCCTCCTTTCCCCTTGGTCTTTCCCTTCACTGGCCAGAAACCCCTGGCATGGGCTCGCTCTCTCACCCTAGCACGGGCCTCCTGATAGCTCAAGAAGCACTGTGACAAGCCTGGGTGATCCTGGATGGCGTCTACAATCTGATCCTCAAAGTCAGAGATGAACACTGCATCTTCGTCACCTTGGTCTGCAAGAAGCTGAAAGATCTGCTCCTCGTCGATCTCCATGGACTCGGTCTCCTGCATGAAGGCCGCTTGATGATTGTCCTCAGGTTCATCAAGCTGGTAGGCCTCATATGTTTTCTTGCCATGATTGGCTCGATTCCCCTGAAGGTCCTGGAAGAATCTTGACCCAAGGAGCCTCAGGCTCTTCCGTGCTTGCTCATAGGTCAGTTGGCCCTGGTTGTCTACAATGATCCGTTTTCGGTCATCAGAGCTCAGGTTCGATTGTCTGACGAGCACATATGCCCGTACGTCGGCCAGTGTGATCTTCTTCGACAGCAAGTCTTCGAACACCGTGTCGTGCCTGGCCAAGTAGCTGTCGTTTGTTTCATCAGATCGTTGGCTCACTGAGTACAATGCTCGCTCAAACAAGTCATAGGTGTCCTCAGGATCTGTGCGACCCCAGGCACCCCCCAAGGTCTCAATGAGGATCTTCACCCCATCCGCTGATCTCAGTTTCTGTGCATCAAGTCTTGCCAGTTTTTGGAGTGCGGCACCCTCCACCAGCAAGGCCGCCCGTGGCGCCAAATGCTCTATGTATTCAGTCGGCCACACCTGATGCAGGAACTGCAACTTCTGGGTGTACACCCTCAAGTCCGTCGTTGACGGATCAAAACGAGGTCTGTCCCCATGGAAGGGAACTCGGAGGAATCCCCGACGAAGGTGGATCTGCTGCTTCCGCCCTTCGTTCCGAGGACATGGCTCAGACTTTGCGCCCGAGAAAACTGTTGTTCCAGCCTATGGAACCTTGTTTGACTGTCCTAGACCCCGTCTAAGATGCCCCAAAATTTAGTTAGTTACTCGGATGCCCCAGGCGGCAGCCCAGGGCTCCGCTACCAATGTGAATTTACTATCTCCCTGAGATATTATTTCGGGGATTCCTATCCACCAACCCTGAGATGCAAAACCCTGTTTTGCTGGCCTTGTTGAATCCTCCCGCCCGCCCAGCTGCATTGTCGGCGAAGCGGACGGCACGTGTTGGAAGCACCCAATGGAACCATGTGGATCATGGTATGTCCATGTGATAGACATGAGTTGATGATACAAATGGATGGTACATTCACAATATATATATATACTCTACACATATTATATATATATATATATTATGTATTCATTTGTGGGTGTTTCTTTCAATGACTTAGATGATGTGAGGCTACCCCTATGACTTAGGAAACCACCATATCCCCTCCCCTGAGTGCGCGAGGACTTTCTTCCCGAGCGGTGGGAGTGCTCAGCCACAACGCAGTTCTGCGTGAGAGATCTCTGATGTTAGGTGGTTTATAGCACCCATATGTGGTACAATTGGGGATGAGTACTGTTTAGTATTAGTATGTATTAGTATTGGCTTCACCACACTATTTATTTTTGTTGTGCATAGTGTCGTGATAGACCCATTGCACCCATTGCTCAAGGACATGCCTTGGCTCGAAGAAGTATCCAAGTTTGACCCATGCCCGCTTTGCTGCATCTGAACTGAGGTTATTTGCCTATCCCAAGGGTGTGGGACCACAGCCCTGGTGACACGTTTTTTCGAAACGCTACACTCGTTTTATGTCCCAGTCCCACAGATTGCCAGATGGATGGGACGAACTTGTGATGATTTCTTCAGTATGTGCACATGAAAAATCTTTGGTTTTTACACATGACACATGTATTGATTTGCTAATACAACCTGGCATTGCCTGGCATGCTTTAGAATCTTCCACTATTTGTATCCATCCATATTGTTTGTTCCCTTTGATGGATATAGCATTATATGACTTACCCTCTGGTAATTTAACATAGCTATTTAATGGCCCTGTATAGTGAGTTTTCCCATTTAAAATTCGTGATTTTCCATAGCTATGTTAGTTTACCAGAGGGTACATCCATAGTCCGTATGTTTTTTTTAATCGTCGATCCAGTTCCCGGAAAACTACATTGATTCTCCATGATTCTCCGATTGAAGATCCGCCAGGTTTTCCTCACCATGCAGCATGGTTTAACCGATGGAACCGCAAATTTCTGTGGCATGTTTATCATGATAGTAATTGTACTACGTCTAGCAAAATAAACCACTAGAAGTAATCGCAACTTCATGGTTTTTGTTCTGTATCTATATCATAAGAACATGATTATTTTTGTCTTTGCAAAAGCCTCAAAAACACGAATGAAGGTTATATTTTAAACTCATCAGTCATGCAAAAATCGATCGATCTATCCACTCAGGCGGCGCCCTGCGGCAGCATGGAACGTTCCTCGCCGAGGCAGTACATATATATGGGTGCGTTTCAAACTGATGGACCGCAATTTATGGACATTATTGGACATTCAGAATAGGGAAATGATTTAAATCATGTAAAATATATTCGACTTTGGGGTTCCAGTCATTTTCAAAAAAAACAACCTCAGACGTGCTTCATCCAAAGCTGTAGAGATAGACGTAGAATCGAAATCCCCCAGGGATGCCCAGGTGGCTTCTCAAGATCTATAGGTGATCCATCTGGGAATAGCCGTGAAAATCGACACACGGGAGCCAACTTAAAAACCATGGGCTTTTTTTTTGTGAAAAGACCACATGGGAATAGCATGGAGACTTGATGACTCGCTGACTTGGATGGCTTGGATTTCAGTGGAAACCAGTGACATTTTTGTCACCAAAAAAACAGCAGTTATGCTGCGGTTTCTTCTTTTCCATCCCCATGAGCCACGCAATTCAGGAGCGACGACAATCAGAGATTCCCAAGCACAATGATAGTTACTTAACTCCTATGAAATCCACCAGTTGTGTTCCTTATTGTTCATGGTAAAACCATCATGTTCATCCATGTTCCATCAGTCTTGATGAAATCCCATGAAATCATGGAAATCACCCATTTTTCATGGCTAAACCATGGTTAAAACACGTTAAAGCCCTGCTTTCCCACCAGTTGCTGAAATCATCAAGGAACCCTGGCAACCCTGTTGGCAGGTGCCGACCAGACAGGCCGTGTCGTTGGGGAGCCCATTTGGCAGCGACGTGTAGGGCGGTGCTTGGCGGTGGTTGGCGGTGGTTGGGTAGGCCAACAAACTTAAGGGGAAAATGTGAACACATGTCCAAAAATGCGGGATCATATGAATAGATAACAATAAATATGTATTCAGTATTCATATCAATTGGAAACGCATATTGAATTTCACATTGAAAACATACCAAATATAATTATTCAGGAATATGAGATCATATGTGTTAGTTGGAAATAAATATTCAATTTCACATGAAAAAAACTAACAGGGCATCCTTTTTTACGGTACACATCATTAAAATAACAATAAACAAATCATGTCAAAAGACAAAGGAGGCAATGGCCACTCAAAACCCTGATCTCAGCAGCAAATTGGCTTCTGAACCTTCACCACTTTTTAGTCCTTCGACCTCACATGTTGTAATGGCTTTCACTTAGCTTTCCAAATCGCTGGGGCGGTACCGCTTTCAAAACCCAGGTTCAAGCGACTCACAGCAGAAGAACGGGAAGACCTCGAGAATATGAAGAGCTCCAGATTTGATCAGCAGGAGCGAGCGTTCAGCCAGTGAGAGATTCCTGCACACACTGGAGATCTGCGTATTTTCGGTTGATTACAGATGTATCATGATGTATCCTTGTATGCGAATGCTGCATATAGAAATATATATTGTATCTACTGTTATATATACTATGTATTATGTATACATATATACTGTATTATACTGTATATATACTGATATTATACTGATTAGATCTGACTGGTATTGCTATTGGTATTGCTATATCCCAAAACATGCTTGGTTGGCCACCTGGCAGGAGCACGCGAAGGGTGGACCCAGCGGCGCCGGCGACAACGGCGACGCGGTGCCATTGGGGTGGCATGGCATCGAGCGGCGAGCAACGCGTGGGAGTTTGCGCAGATATTGTCGTACTACGTGGGACACATAGACATAATTATTATTTATAACTTTATATATATATATATATTTATATATTTATTTGGCCAGTGTACATGCATATATATATATACATACAGTATGCATAATGTATGCAATGCAATGCAATGCAATGCAATGTAAAACATGTGTATAAAATACTTTTTAACTTATGTATATATATATATAATTATATACATATAGTTACACATACATATGGACTTGACAGATTTTCCCGCGTTTAGATATGATTTTCCTAATGAAAAGGGGATTTACATTCCATTGTCCAGGGTCCAGGCGCTGGTTCCTCATTTCACGGCCTGTTGCTGCTTTAGCCAATCTCGCCACATTCGCATGATGACCACGTTTGATCTGTCAGAAACATTACCCTCTGGTAAACTAACATAACTATGGAAAATCACAATTTTTAATGGATAAATCCACTATAAATGGCTATTTTCAATAGCTATGTTAGTTTACCAGAGGGTATGTTTGTTGTTGCTGCTTTTGGCCGTGTTGTGAAAGGTTGATGATTATTTGTTTGCACCACAATGCACAAACATGCTTTAGTTCCAAGAGTCGTGAAACTGAAGATGTTGCAAACAACATCTACTATTCTTGAGAATGTTTATGACATCCCTTTCTACAAAGCCGTGATATCACTATTGAGAAACCTTTTTTTTTGTGGTTTGAAACGACCGACCAGTTATGGCAGTTATGGCTGGCAAAAAAAAGGCATCAGCCACTGAGGTTTCTCAGCTCGGTACCAGGTGACCTGGGTGCAGGGGGTGTTGTCACTCGTCATCAGTAATCATACAAGGCTGGCAGGGAATAATATATATATAATATATTTAATATATATATATTTCTATATGACAAATTATAAGCATAATGCATGGGTTTTCAGTTCCGTTTCCAAAGAAATCGACCAGAGGTACCAGAGTTTAGCTATTATTTACCCTCCCCCAAAATGACATAGACCTTGACAGGGTCTATGCTATCTTCGAGAGACTCCGTCGATTCCAAGGGTTTCAAGCTGCGGTCCATCAGAAATCAAGGCCCAATATGTACTCCCCTTCACATCCTGAACCGTTTTGCATAGTTTTTTGCATCATGTTTGGTTGCGAACACCAACACTTTCCTCCTAAAAGTGGATGAATGGAATGTCAGAAGCCATCAACTGAAAACATTGTTTGATTATAAGAAACATGAGTTTCCATGGGTCTCATGTACATAAATATTCCCTGAAACCACCCCAGTGATCTGATGTTTTCCGTGAGAGGCGTCAGCAGTCTGGCTGGCAGCTCCTATGTACTCAGTGCCGTTCAGTGGCTCAGCAGAAGTGAAGGGTCGTTCGTTGGGTGCATCTTGAATGAACCCCGTGGTTTTTGGATCCCCAAACTTGGGGATACTTGATATGCTGCGGTAAAACTTGGTCGGGAAGTTAACCAGTTACTGTACCAAGAAATGTGTTTATTCATTGTCGCCATCAAATCCACGCAAAAAATCCAAGAAGAAATGTGTAGTTATGTTTCTAAACAAGAAGATTGTTTTGTTTTACTATGGATTCTCCGGCATATGTTCCGAGAAAAACTTTGCCCTTTGTGAAACTACAGACTTTATCGTCGAAGGAAGTTTAGAAGTCAAACTTCCGACAATATGGACAGATGAAAAGCAGAGCAGGGTAGAGGCAGAGAGAAGAGGAAGATTAGAAGAGAGAAGATCAGAAGAGAAAGAGTAAGAAGAAAGAAGATGCAGATGCGCGAAAAGGTAGGAAAGTCGCGAAACACTGCGTTTTTCCAATGATTTGTGGCTCCGGAGGGTCGAAAAGTAGGCTCGCTAAGGCGGCGGGTGCGGAGCCAGCTGGCCACAGGAGCGATGAAAAATTGCACGCCGTTGTGGCGCGAAGCACATTTCGAAGTCAAAAGTGTTAAAAACTGGCGGTCTCGGACCACTTTTGGAAGTTGCGATGTCGAAAAAGTGCACGCCGTTGTGGCGCGAAGCACATTTCCAAGTCAAAATGTACAAAACACACCAGGGTCGGACCACTTTTGGAAGTTATGATGTCGAAAAAGTGCACGCCGTTGTGGCGCGAAGCACATTTCCAAGTCAAAATGTACAAAACACACCATTCTCGGAGCACTTTTGGAAGTTGAGATGTCGAAAAAGTGCACGCCGTTGTGGCGCGAAGCACATTTTGAAGTCAAAAGTGTTAAAAACTGACGGTCTCGGACCACTTTTGGAGCTTCGGATGTCGAAAAGTGTCGAAACAGTGCACGCCGTTGTGGCACGAAGCACATTTCGAAGTCAAAAATGTAAAAAACTGAGGGTTTTGAGCCTTTTTTGACGTGAAGATGTTGAAAAAGTAGACACTGATTAACTTAAACTAACTTCACTAACTTAACTACCTTAACTTCGACGACAACAGCAACAGCAACAACAACAACAACAACACCAACTACAACAACTACAACTACAACAACTACAACTACAACAACTACACAACAACTACAACTACAACTAGAACTACAACAACAACAAAAACAACAGCAACTACAACTACAACAACTACAACTACAACAACTACAACAACAACAACAGCAACTACAACAACAACTACAACAACTATAACTACAACTACAACTACAACTACATTTCCAAGTCAAAAGTGTTAAAAACTGGCGGTCTCGGACCACTTTTGGAAGTTGAGATGTCGAAAAAGTGTCGAAAAAGTGCACGCCGTTGTGGCGCGAAGCACGTGTCGAAGTCAAAAGTGTAAAAAACTGAGGGTTTTGAGCCTTTTTTGACGTGAAGATCTCGAAAAAGTAGACATTGATTAACTTAACTAACTTGACTAACTTAACTAACTTCACTAACTTAACTACCCTAACTTCGACGACAACAGCAACAGCAACAACAACAACAACAACAACACCAACCACAACCACAACAACAACACCAACCACAACAACTACAACAACTACAACTACAACAACTACAACAACTACAACTACAACAACTACACGACAACTACAACTAGAACTACAACTACAACAACTACTACAACAACAACAGCAACAACAACAACAGCAACAGCAACAACAACTACAACTACAACTACAACTACAACTACACAACAACTACAACTACAACTAGAACTACAACTACAACTACAACTACAGCTACAACAACAACAACTACTACTACTACAACAGCAACAACAACAACAACTACAACAACTACAACAACAACAACTACTACTACTACTACAACACTACACAACAACTACAACCACACAACAACTACAGCTACAACTACAACAACAACTACAACTACAACAACTACAACTACAACTACAAAACAACTACATCTACAACTATATGACTGCAACTACACTACACTAATTACACTACACCACAACTACAACTCCACTACGCTACAACTACAACTACAGTTGCAGTACATCACACTACATCCAGCAGTTGTGGGTGAGGTGACCACTGCAACCATTGCAACCATTCCAGCAAACACAACTCCACCCACCTTTCGGTCAATCAGTGGATTCGCTCTGCCATCCGTGATTCACAACAACCAACGTCTCCTATAGGTTTCCTATTCTGAAACTTCCGCCACCGCCTTGTGCCAGACTTTATCGTAGGTGCACTAGACAGATTGTAGGTACAGTAACTGAAACTAAGAGAACCCGGGTAAGAGAAGAGTGCCAAGATTCTGATAGGGTGAAGTATTACTGCGTTGGTATGAAAATAACAAGTTTGAAGAGTAAATGGCGTTGTCTTAATGAACAAATTTAGAGTCTAGAGATGTCTAGAGTCTGCACTTATCACTGGTTTCCCTATTAGGCATGTGACATGACATAAAATGACCAACAGCTTATTTTGAGGCCCGACTTAAGAGAACCCATTAAAATGGCTCAATTGGGATGTTTACCTAATGAAATTCCATTCAAAACATATATATATATATAATCATATATAAATCCCATCAAAGCCAATTTGAATCCTCCTTATGGTTGATTAAATCACCATTTAATCCCATTCAGTCACCACACTTCATACAGTCACCATCTTTGATACCGTCTGGTAATTTAACATAGCTATTGAAAATGATCATTTATAGTGGATTTACCCATTGAAAATGGTGACTTTCAATAGCTACGTTAAATTACCAGTGGGTAATTTTTTCCCTCAAATTCCCCATAAGTTCCCTTTCTTCGGCCCAAGGTACGCCAAGGACAATCCGTTGATGGCCCTGTGGACCGTGGGCCCTGCCGTGTGCAGCGGCGTACTGACCGCAGCCAGGCGGAGATGTCCATGGCAAATTCCTGAGTGGTTGTAGATATAATGTATATATGCCATGTATATGGCATGTATATAGGGATCTTGTAGGGATATTGTGATTTCCATGGTTTTCTACTTTTTATATATGTTTACTAACCAAAAATGGGATGCAATGATGATTTTTCATGGTGATTTTCAAAGATGATTCAATGGTATCTTGCCAGTTTGGTGCTAAGGACCCATGCGGAGCTACTGTATTTAGAGTTTCCCAACGACACGATACTTTGTTCCGATTCAAGTTGGTTTGTTACCAATGAAACCTGGTGTTCTTGCCTACTAATTGTAATAATTAATTGGCAGTTTACCCATAAACAATATGATTCTCGTGTGCTACTTTAAACGTCAACATGATAGTATGTGATATGTTTGCTCACCCAAATGTTGGTACTGTTGCTCGTATGTGTGGGTTCTGGGAGGGTCGAGGTCTAGCTACAGGCTTTCATATGGAATTATACAGATATGTAAAGAACTAGAGAATGATAAAGATATATAAAGAGATAATGATGCATAGAGCTTTGTGTGCTTCTATTTGAGTAAAACTGGTGGGTTTGATCAAAGCATATTAAAAAAAACAAACAACTAAAACAGTAAACTTGAACCAGAATTGAAGATTTCTGGGCCCACAGACAATCTTTACCATTCAATCTTCCAGATGATCTATATACCTCCAAATACTATCAATCATTCATACATCAAAGCTTCCTATGCTAAATGATGCTAATTGGCTACTTGCTCTGAAATGAAACCATCCACAGTTTTCTTAATGAATTAACCATACATTAACCATACATTAACCATTCATTAACCATACATTAATCATACATTAACCATACATTAACCATACATTAACCATACATTAACCATACATTAACCATACATTAACCATACATTAACCATACATTAACCATGTATGATGCTAATCACTAATCATCAGTTTTTGATGAAACCATCCACAGTGTTTTTTCGCTTCGCCCATTCCGGCGATTTCGCCAGGTCGACCTACAACTATTTCTATCCACCGGAGCGCTGTGAGAAATTTCCTGGGCTGGATGGCTGGTTCTTCTCTGCAAGAAGATGGTTTCAAATGATCACAAATTCAACAACACATACATAAATACGTGTATGTATATATATATATTTATAGACTGACATACATGATATATATATATATATACATGGATATATACATATATATATATATATACACATCGCAATTGCCCATGTGATCTTGTATGTTTATGTATTTTCTTGATTGTGGGATGACAGTGTCAGCAGTGTCAGCAGTGTCAGAGAATGGCCAAGGATCCATCTTGATGTTTTTTTGGAAAGACGTGATGGTGCCTACAGAAAAACATGTTCTTATTATGTGTTTATGGGTTGGGCAACCCAAACAGGGATTCCTAGGTATGTTTGTTCCAGAAACTTTTGGCTGGTTGAATTTCAGCGTTTCAAGATGTTCATCCGCACCACTTTTGAAGTCGGATACCAGGTCAGTGTTTTGTTTAAAAGTTAATACATGAATAATCATAAATATCAATGTTTAATAATTAACACCGCATGAATATTATATATATACATATACACATCCAGTTTGCTGGTTCAACTCTAATGATTATCCCCAAGTCATCACCATCTTCATGGTTGGGCATGTTAGTTTCCACATTAGATTTCCCAGAATACATATCCCATTCCATATACATATTCCATACACACATATCACATATCCATTCCATATACATTCTATATGCATCTGCATATCCCATTGAATCTGGGATACGCTGGGAATCGTCTCTCAGGAGCAGAGTTGGTTGGGCGGCTGGGATGCTGGTCTCCTTGGGGGCGCCGCCACTCGGAGCAAAAGTTGTGATTTAAATGGTGGTTAATAATGGTTAATAATGGTTAATAATCACTGGTTGGTGGTTTCAAACATCATTTCATATATGGGATGTCATCCTTCCCATTGACGAACTCATATGTTGCAAGATGGTTAAAACCACCAGATGGGGATATATGATTGCATAATGTGGAGAGTCCTCATGGATATAATGTGGAGAGTCCTTGTGGATATTTTATGGGATAGAAATATCATGATATTGGAGATCCGAAAAAAATAATTCTTGCCTTCACCAGACATGACCTCAGGTTGCTGTCAGCTGCCTGCACTGATGAGTTGACCGGTCAACATAAAGAAGTCGCAGGGGATCAACTCGCTAATTGCTGACAGATGATTTGGAGACCATGCGTACAGAGATAGATAGATGAATAGATGGATAGATGGATAGATGGATAGACAGATAGAAAGATAGACAGACAGAAAGATTGATGGATATACAGATAGACAGATAGACAGATCACTAGATGCACATATACATGTATATTTACATATAGATGGATGGATGGAAGGATGGATGGATGAAAGGATACACAAGATACATTGAGATACATTAAGATACATAAAATACATAGGATACATGACCTTACACACAGTATCATAAAATAGCATGACATGTTATGATATCACAGACATTTACATAACATTATCCTACACACCATTAACATACCATAACATGACATAACATTACAAAAAGGTCGTCCCTTTTGGCTGAAGTGCGGCGAAACCAAGGCCGGTGGTGCTTGGTTCGGCGGCTCCGCTGCTGCAAAGCCGGCGTTTCTTAAATCGGTGACCAGTACGGATGGAACGGGGTTGGTAAATGTCCCGCTTTGGTGATTTGAACATCTGTTGGAGAGTATCTGTTGGAGAGTTACCAATAGATGTTGGATATGATGTTGGATGATGTTACCAATAAATCATCAAGAGTATCTCTCCAATGCCTCAAGTATCCGCTGGAGAGTTTATTTGCAATAGCTGGGTGATGTGAAGAAACGGACATTTACCAACCCATGTTGATATCCCGCATATGGACCGTGTCCTGAGATTTAAGTCAGTGGATATTTCGCTGGAATTGAATTCCATTGAAAGTATGATTTAGTAGGCTTACCCTCTGGCAAACTAACATAACTATGGAAAATCAACTATAAATGGGCCATCTATACCATAGCTGTGTTAGTTTACCAGAGGGTAGACCCCATTTGCCAACCACTCAGGGAACCACCGAGCAGCCAGCCAGGCTTCTAGTTGGTGGCCTGGTTCTCAACCACAGGCGCCCCGGAGTTGTCGGGTCAGTTGGAGGATACTTGACGGCAATGGGTCAAAACCTGCCCATGAATCCTACTATATAGTTTCATTTACCATCTGGTTATTTACTGTAACATAGCCATGGAAAATCCACCCATTTTAAGTTCGGTAAACCATCTATTTCTATGGGCCATCTATACCATGGCTATGTTAGTCATAACCAGAGGGTATCCATTTCCCAGAAATGTGGAGATGGACATGTAAATTCCACCATATTCCACCCATATATGTTGGGGTGAACAGAAGGTTACCAAGGTTTTGACCAGGTCTGGTTTTGTCTTTGGGAACCAATTTTTTCACCCAAGCCTCGAAGTAGAAGTGCCCTGAAAGGCAGGAAGCAACCAACTTCAGTGTGCATAGTGTGCAAATTTCAGTGTACTTCTCTTCAAGTTGCAGGCCTTGAAGCTACATCCATATCTTGGCAGTCAGCTGGCCTGATTTTTGGTCCCAAAATAGACTCCGGTGTCATCAAAGGTGGCTGGCTGGGAAGTCCTTTACAAATGATGGTTTTAAGTTTTTATATGTTTTAATTTATTAATGGGAAAACCATCTGTTGATGGATTTTCCAGGCTAAGCCACGCTTCATTAGGGTAGCGAAGCCGTGCTGCTCTGCACGTGCCGTGCCACACATACCGTGCCGTGGTGCCGTGCCGTGCCAGGCCTCATCGGGCTGGTTTGGCTTTGGCGGCCAGCCTGCGGTCTACCTGGCCTGTCACCTGGGACCCTGGGAGCTGAGATGGGATGGTTGGTGGATTGGTGTTTCCTAAAATGGGGGGAAACGCCCAAATCCATGGTAAGGAACATGGATTAGACCATTTTAGTATTGAAACCCATGGAATTTTAAGGGCATTCATTTTAAGAAACCTGGCAGTGTTTGACAAGTAGATTGTCTGAAGTCCCATGAAATCCCAATGAAATGGTTGGTTAAATCAGCATCAAGTCCCAGGAAATCCCGATAGCACCGTCTCTCATTGCATCTCTGCCAGCCCGCTTCAAGCAGCTGGTTCGGCGGCGGCGAAGCGGCCGCGTCGGCCGGGAGCCATAGCGGCGGTGGAAGGCGAAAATGGCAGGGTGTTTTTGCCATAGAAATATGGAGAATTTATGAGAATTTATGAAGAATATACATGAACATATGTGAAATTTGGAGAAAATGAGGTTCCAAACTTCTATGGGATTTTAGAACTTCCCTATTTTTGAGACACAGACTGGTTGAACTGAAGAATGGGAGAATTTGACAGAATAATTACAGGATGAACTTTAACAATTATGAGAGAACTCAAGATTTACGGGTACGATAAATAATGCATAATACTATATAATTATATAATACTACTATATATAATACACCATATAGCACTATTTTGGAAAATAATGAATATTATATATATAAAGAACCCTCTCCAGCGAGCCATGCTTGATAAACCTGGAGGTTTAACAAGCAGCAAGGAGGCGTTTAGTCAACCCAGGATGAATGCTTGCTTGATTCGGGAGAGTTCACCGAAAATAGAACAAATTGTATCACTTCATTGAATTGACCTAATTGACTGTTTAAACCAACCACTTTTTTTTGGTGTTAATGACCCATATCATGTTATATCGCCACAATTTTTTAGGTCACATTCATTTTCCCGGGATGAATCAGAATGAAGGAACAAATGCGGTTGAAACCCCTATACTTGCTGGTAAAATGGAAGGTTTCCTGTATTTGTGTTCTTGAAGCAACCCATTGAGATATCAAAAAACAACAATTTGAATCAATTTGAAAAACCTCCGAATTCCTTGGAACAGATTCAGAACTTGATGTTGATAATTTCCAGTTGGGTTACTTGGTGGTTCACCCCAGGAACCATGGAGTTCACCCCAGTTAGCACTCTACCAATCCCTTGTTACCGACAAATTCGCTGAGGGGTTTTGACACCAAATCATCATCAAATCAGCATGTTTCATGGTTGAATCCCATGAACAATCACCATGAAATCAGCATGTTTCATGGTTGAATCCCATGAGCAATCACCATGAAATTACCATGAAATTACCATGAAATCACCGTGAAATCACCATGGTTTGCTGGTGAATTCCCTACCTCAAAGCCCACCCACCACCTGCACACCATGACCGAGTCTTCCAGCTGGTTCGGCACGAGCGCTGCTGCTGGTGCCGCCGCCAGTGGTGCCGCGGGCGGGTGGTTCGGAGGTCTCTTTGGAGGCACGGATGGTCGGGTGGATGGTCCCTGGTGTCCAGTTGGTTTTGTGAAAGCTAGGCGAACTGGGTTTATGGTGATGAAACAACATATAAAACAGCTATTTGGTTGATGAACTAGCTCATAAGTAGGGGGCATATATGTTCGTATTAACAATGTGGTAAACAAAATATAGTAAACCTTGCACTTGGGCATGTTTTTTTCTTTAACCAACCATAAAAATGGCGTAAGCCATGGTATCGAATGGTGGTTTGTACCGGTTTTCGGTACATGGGATCGAAGTGTTCACGGATTTTTCCAGAGATCTCGGTGTGGAGATTTTGGACCCAATGTAAGTGCCCGAACTTTTAGGATCAGGTTGGTGGTTTGACATGAAAATAATGGTTATCAATGGTTAATAACCATAGGAAAACCATAGGAAAACCATAGGTTAATGATGGTTAATAATGGTGAATAATGGTTAATAATGGCTGGTTGGTATATATTCCAATATAGTGTAACAATCCCAATGATTATTCCCAATATATGGTATATATGAATAACTGATTGGTGGTTTGGAACATGAATGGATTATTTTTTCCCATCATATTGGGAATTTCATCATCCCAACTGACTTTAACTCCATGATTTTTCAGAGGGGTAGGGCTCAACCACCATCCAGTTAGGATCATGGTTTTATGATGTTTTATGGCTTTGTCTGAAAAAGATGTTTTTTGGGATGTTTTTAGGGTATAGCCACACAATGTCAGTTTTTGGGCTTTTTGGGGAACATTGATTATGACTTATAACTATTGGATTTGGTGCTATGGTGCCATAGGACTTCGGTGTTGAAACCAGCGGTAGGTTGGTTTTGTTCCCCCTGTTTCCACCATTTTTTTGCCATAGGATGTCATAGTTAGCCATCGTTAGCCGATGTGTAATTTTTACATTTCCAGCCAAAAATCTAGAAACATCTAATCTGAGTGTAGACTAATATTGTTTTTAGATTCATGACCCTCCAGTAACATTTTGCAGCCAAAAAAACAATGGAAATTCATGGTTTTTCCGTAGATCCAACCCTTGGGGACCCCATTCAGGCGGCGAAAAGGCGAGGTGGCAGGGCGGCAGGGCGCTATCTGCCTGGCTGTTTCAAAGATTGGACTGTACAATTATATGCATGTGATAGGTATGTACATATAAATGGTGCACCATATATTAATATGATTTATGTTTCAGTCCGCTTTGTACTGTTTATTGTTGGTCATCCTTATCAAACATCGAATGATGATCTAACTTGGTGTTCATGGACGGATGGCAAAACCATCAGCAAGCGCCATTTATTTGTAGATTGTGAACCATATGTGGGAGTCTAATTGTTTTCCAGGAGTATTTTTGACGAAGATTGCAGAAATCATAGGCATGATGCGAATCATGTGTTGGCACAAGACATGTTCTTTACTTTCTCTCAAATCAGTCCTCGGAGACACACAACCCTTCAGTAAACTACGAGGAGGAAACATGGATCAAGCTTTCACACAGAGTAACCGCAGATTTTGGTCATGGGCCATTTTTCAGTCTCTGCGGCGTAGGGAAAATCCACCATGTGTGGATCATTATCTTGAGGTTTTTTCCAGTTTAAAGGACTCCTGAGGCTTAGAGGCAACCATCATTCGTGTCGTTTAGTCGTGGCACCACCAGTTCTTGAGTCGGCTTAAACAAAGAGGTACTTGGAACCAAGAAGCGAGTGTGTAACTGGCAACTGGCCATTTTGGACAGAACTTCAAGAGGATTCCAATATAATTACTGAACAACAATGTTGTGCCTTCAACGATAAAGGTCTTGATTGCTCGCATAGTTTGTCTCAAGTTTGGTGGTGCCCATCCCCTTTTCTTGGCACGTCATGCCTGAAAAACTGACACTTCGCCGACGGCCGGGTTATGTCACAACCTCAAGCAAATGTAGTAGACGGGCATGTTATACATTGTTGGCAACCAGCTCAGCCCAAGGGCGCTGGTAGCTGTGGCCACATCAGCCAACTGATGCAAACAATGTTGTTGCTTGGCCAAGGCTGTGAAATGCTGGAGTTCAATGATTCCGAACCAAAGACCCCATCCCAGACTTTCAGACTCCCAGAGTCAGTTTAAGGCTTAAGAGAACATGATACAAGACATATGTGTGGAATTATTTAAGGCTAATCCGTTTCGTAGTTTCCGGTTGGTTAGGGTGAAGTGCAATGAAATTCAACCAGACGTAAATTTACCAAGGTTTAGGCTGGGAAAATCGATAGATGTCATGTAAATAGGATCCATTTAGCTGATGATCAAGTTGGCTGGTAAGATTCGTACATGCGAAAACTGAAAACAGGTGAAACATGTCCAGTCAATCTTTTAAATTCATAAAAAGCAGACGCAAAATCGGTAAACTCCCATTTGAAATGACCAATAGAAAACCATAGAAAACCCATAGAAAACCCATAGAAATCCATAGTTTTTCCCTTGACAAACTCGTCTTTGTGAAGCCATGGAGCCGAGCCGTGGACTCTTTGGTGACATCGAGGATGGGATTCTGCGCGGCCGATGCTTGGTCAAAGATCTCGATGTATATAACCTCAGTTATGTAGATTATGGTAAGAGAACCATAATCCAATATAGTTAGATAACCATATAGTTAGATAACCATAAACCATAGTTATTGTAGAAACCCCTTTGGGATTTAAACCCACATATCAATGGATTGGTTTAAGGGAAAAATTACAGGAAAGCCCCATATTTCATAGGAAACTCTATGGTTTCCTGTGGATTTTCCCTTAAACCAATCCATTGATTATAGGATGTTATTTCATCCCGTTTAGAACTGTTAGTTGGGCCATAACTCTGGAAATCTTCATGCAAGTTCAACATACAATGTGGGCCCCCCCCGTGATGTGAACGTTGGTTTATAAACCCCATTAACTATCGTTATAAGTACCATAAACCATAGTCATTGGAGTTATAAACCAACTTATGGTTAAGTTTACTGGTTGGTGGTTTGGAACATGAATTTTATTTGTCCCATCATATTGAGAATTTCATCATCCCAACTGACGAACTCATATTTTTCAGAAGGGTAGGTATACCACCAACCAGTATTTTATTATCTATATCGTGTTGAGTAATGAGGATTGTATTATAGATCCATAATCTACTGTATCAATGTTAATTGATGTTAATTAATGTTTATGATATGTTATCTAGATATATATATATATACATAATTATCTATTGGGTGATCTAGATATATCTATTTGGTTAATTAATGTTATTTATATTTGATTGTTTATATATTAGATTATTATCAAGATATATTATCAGCATATTATCCAAGATTAGATAATTATCATTAATAATCAACATTATTATCTATATCTTGTTGATTAATGATTATTATATATTATTATTATATTATATATATTATATCTAGATATCTAATGATATACATATATATATATATGGATCTAGAGTCGATATATTTTATAGATATGTTGGGTTGTTATATATAATCAACGATCCAGTATCTATCTAGATAATCAATGTTAACTATTGTGTGCATTAATTTAATTAATGTTATCTATCTGGTTATAGTGTGATGAAATATCTAATATCTAATATCTAGATTATATATATACACATTTAATGAACTATAGATCTTGTTGATCGTCTTGGGTGATAATCAATGTTAATTATATGTTCTTATATCATGTTATATCTAGTCATTATATTATAGTTAGATCTATTTATACTTTGATTAATGTATATATTTATGATCATCCTAGAGTAGATGGATATGTAATGCTGTGTGAACATGATATATTCCACTCCAGAATGACTATATTATAGCTAGCTGTATCTAGCTAGTTGTATCTAGTTAGTTATATATCTACTTAACATTGTTGTAATTGTAGTTATATTTGATGAATGTCAAGTTATATAATATTAAGTTGTATGTTAATGAATATCTAGTTGTATCTAGTTGGTCATGCTTTGGCACTATAGTATATCAGCTTGGTAAATTCTTGCAACATCTGATGTTTGACTTGATATGCTTATGTGCGACGTATTTGACCTTGGTCGTTCATCTTATATTGTTTTCTTCTCTTATCAATTTGATGAATATGCTGATGATTATGCTGATGAATATCTTTGAATATCTAGTCATACCTAAGTGATCATGAATGGGATTATAATGACATATAATGACTATAATTGGGATTATAATGACTATAGTATATCAGCGTGATATACTATCATCAACGACCATGATAAATGGTTGAGAACTATAAATGACAGTAACTATGATGTGATCATATCGAACATCTTAACCATGTAGTAGCTAATATAGTAATATAGTTAATATTGGATATCTATGTGGGAATATGAATATGATTGATATTGATGTACGAAGCGAATTGATCATCAAATATCAAATGTTCATTCATAGTTTTATTTATAGTTATAGCCATAGTCAATAGCATTGACTTTTGAGAATGTGAACGAACCAAGTTTTTTTCATATATATCATATATCATATATAGTATATATCATATATAATATATATCATATATAGTATAGTCAATGATCAATGAGTGAGTGACCAACTTTTGAACGAACCAAGGTGTTTTTTCAGTGCTGGATTCATTACTCTGCAGAAAAACTGTCGAACTCGTTGTGGGTTTCGAACGAAGGCTGTAGCCCTTTTTATTGAAAAAGCTATGGAAAATGTACAGAAAGACCCTATCTTAAAGATAGAGAAGTCAAATGCGATGCTCAAATAGTCATATTCCTAGCCTCTGAGACCTCTGGTTTATAGATTTTTTCAGATATGATATGATCAAATCTATAGTTCATAATTTCTATATAGTTCAAATAGTTCATAGATTTTTTATAGTTCAAATGTATAGTTTATAGCTTTTATATAGTTCAAATGTATAGTTCATAGATTTTATACAGTTCAAATGTATAGTTCATAGATTTAATACAGTTCAAATGTATAGTTCATAGATTTTATATAGTTCAAATAGTTCATAGGTGTTATATAG